TCAACATATTAATTTCGTTTTTGGTGTTACAATATTTAACCGTTTTAATTACCGTAAGATCTATTTTTAACAAATATATTTGATTAAAATGGCATCTCGTTCCTGTAAACACTACATTTATTATTTGTTACATTGTTTACAAATAATGTATGTGATTTCAACAAAATTCCTTTGTTTTTTGTTTTACCATACAAAACTGTAGGGATTTCACAGAGTTTTTCTGTAAATTTTACAGTCTTTTTTTACAGTGTAACTAAAACATAAGACATTAATTAAAGCAATCTCATGGATACAAAAACATGTAATATAAGTGTTGATTAGCAGGTCCTTGTATGGATGTTTATACTATTCTTTAGTTTTTAAATATCGGTATGTTGATGTGCAATCATTACAAGGAAATTGATAGATAATAATACATTTTATTTCTTAGGCATCTTTCTTGACACTCAAGGTCGCCTTACATGCAAGTAAAAAGTGTATTTTAAAAACAGTTAAAATACAAAGTTAAAAGCATCATGGACAGAGGAGAGTGTGGTTATGTTAGTGAGTATGCTTGTCTAAACAGATGAGTTTTGAGGGTGGAAAATTGATAGATAGATAGATAGATAGATACTTTATTGATCCGTGTAGGAGAATTTCAGGTGTCCAGTAGCAGCAGAAACACACATCCATAAATCATAAACAACAAAATCTACATAAACAATAACATGAAAAATACAAACATAAAGTTTGCAAGAGATAGTAAAAATATAGAAAATAAAAACACACAAAACAAAACCTTAAAACATTAAAATTATACATAAATAGTCACATTCATTAAAAAGAGTACGTTTACAATTCTTCAGTTGTGGCACAGCTAAACAGAACTGTTTTTAACCTGGATTTGAAAACTGCCAGAGCAGACACCTGTCTCACATTCTCAGGAAGATTGCTCCAGATTTTAGCTGCATAAATCTCAGTAGTGCTTCCTGTGCATGTCCTTCCACAGATTACTACGGCCCTAAATGTCCCCAAGTGTTTTGAACTCACACAGACGTTGACCTACATCACAGCTCAATGAGAACTATTTTCACCTGCACGTATGCGAACGCTGCCAGGCTCCGCCCCTTTTCTGTTTGCACTTCTCCCGCAGGAGTCCGCTCGCATGTACTTAATGCAGATCGCATTTGCATAACTTAATGAGACAATCCACTTTAGCGCTGCAGATGTCCTGTCACTCCTGCCCACGTTAGAAACCGCTGCTGGAATCAGTCCAGGTTCATCTCCACGGCCCGGGCCACAAGACCACACCGTTTCAAGTCAGAATTTAAAACTTGAATGAAAGAGACTCCGAAAATGTTGCTTCAATTTTTCATGAACCTCTTCTCACGGGAAAATCTCAGGCAATTCGCTGTGAGTGGGAACTGACAAGGTGATGACGAGGGGAGAACGAGAGATTCTTGTCGTGCAGGGACGATATCTGACAGATTATTGAAGTTACCTGAGGCTACAAACTATCCGACAATAATATTATAAGACCTATGTGCAGACCTGACTCTGGGCCTCCTGCTGGGACTCTGAGCAGCACGGGGACTGGCCTCCAACATGTTTAGTCTTCCTGAAAATGTGAGACAGGCTTCTACTCTGACAATATTTAAATCCAACATAAAAATGGTTGTTTTTAGCTGAGCAGACAACTTAGGGATTGTATCTTTGGTCTGTACTGTTATATTTATGATCCTAGTGCCTTGTTTGAATTGAATATTGTTTTGTTAAGCACTTTGAGTCGCCTTTTATATGAACAAAATATACTCAAACTCACCTTGCCTTACTTTTTGTTCTCATTCCAGTGATGTCATGCTTGAATGTCTCTTAATAGAATAAAACATTTTTGCTTTACTCATTGGCCAATCTTCTTTTAAGATAAAAGTTAGAATTGATTTTCATTTGATGTTGGCGGCGTGTGACCACAGGTGGAGGCTGGATCCTGCTCCGACACAGATGGTAGTTTCATCGTGCCCATTCTGTGCTGTACTCAAAGCAGCCCAGAGCAGAGACCAATTCCAGTTTCAAGTCTGTCACTCCAGCAGGATTCATTGACTCCAAGAAAGTCAGTCCTTTCACTCCATAGACCTGAGTCTGAGCCAGGTCCTTCACGGGTCCTCAGAGCATGTATTGTTTGTTGCAGTCCAGTCCATCCATCCATTTTCTTCCCCTTAATCCATTTCTAGGTCAGGGGGGCGGCAGTCAGAGCTGCACCCAGTACACTTAGCACCAGCTCCTCACTGATCCTCCTGCAGGTGCTGAGTTCCAGGCAAAGTGGGGTTAAGTGTCATGCCCAAGGACACAACGGCAGCAGACATCAGTGGTGGTCTCATGGTGGGCTCAAACCCACGACCTTCAGTCACTGTCACCCCATACATTTGTCCTTTCCTGGATATGCGCTAGACTAGAGCATGGAAGGCAAAGTCAAGGCCCAGGAGCCAAATCCGGCACGCAAAGTAATGATCTTGGCCCCCGGGATGATATTTGAATAGTCTTAGAACCGGTCCGCACAGAGCCTAAACAAGATATTGGATTATTAATTCAATCTTCAGGATGTGTGTTTTCTCTTTGCTGTGTTTTTTTTTTTTTGTTTTACATGTGATCCTCTTCCCTGTTTATTGTCTTTCCCGCTCTAATGTGTTTCACTCGTGTGTCTGCGTTTATACTTGGGCTTGTTCATTTAAGGGTACAACAGTGTGACAGAAGGCCAAACATGTGATTTTAATAATCAGAAGATATATCATGTTTTTCATGTAGACAAATACCTCCTCTGTCCATCAGAAGTTAGAAGAGAACTGTTTTTTACATGAGTCAAGTTTCCTATAGCGGCTCTGTTTATCTGTGTCACGGATCTGATCCTTTAACGGAATGAGCTGCGGAAGTTTGCCATGTTCATCTTGTGGGAGTTCATCTGCCGCTTTGTCACTGATGACCTTTTCTTTTCCATGTGACTGGAGTCAATGATCAAATCAGAGGCTGATCTGATCTTTTAACATTTCACCAAAATGTATTTGTCAATCGTTTCTTTGGATTTATCCACAGTATCATTTGATATGTCTGTGTTTGAAAGATTTTTTCCAATCTATGATAGTAATTTTAGTTTTTGAGTTATAAACCTTGACACTTTACTGTGAACAGACCAATATCTCCCACGTGTTCTTCCACATTTGTTGTGGGTCCATTGTCAATGTCTTTGTCTCGGTCGACGTGCGTTTTTTTTTTCATCCAAGCTTTATCAAAGTTTTTCTTGGTACATTACAAAACCACAATCAACACAGTGGTTTAAATTTGACGACACATATTCATGTATTACAACAGAAAAATACATAAACAATCACAACAATAAAGGGTAGGACTGAAATAAAGCGTTTGGAAACATGTCGGATCGTGTTGCTGAGATGAATATAATATAGTAATGACCATAATGTGTTCTACATTCATGATTATAGTTTTCTAATTTACGACGAAGGAAGAAAGCAGGTCATTAAAAAACAATACTTTTAATAATTGATTAAACTTTAGATTATAATTATACTTTGGATTTAATCGATGAGTTTAGAGCTGAGCTATTATACAGTATATAAAATATTTCTTCTCAGTTTGTGGCAGATCGAGCTGTAGTGAAGCCACCGGAGAACAGCCTCTATGACTTCTTTCTTCAGAACATCATGTTTTATGGGAAGAACTCTCTCTTTCTAGTGTTAAAACCACATCTCATAGAAAATATGTGGTCTGTATGAAGATCAGTCACGATTAACTGCTAAAATAGCGATTTAATCGATCAATCGTTACAGCTCAAGAAGACTGAATGTTGTGGTCTGTTTTAGTCACAATATTATTTTTCTGTTCTAATGATTTCTGTTGGAACTCTCACAATCTTATCATTTATGAGGGAAAAGGTTTTATACCCCAGCAGTCATTTTAAATGATAAAACAAATGGTCTTATATCGGTTGCATGAATTATAAAATTCTGTCTTCCCCCGGCCCGGACTCGAGGGCTGCACCCCCTCCCCACCTGAGAGCCTCCTCAGTCCTGCATCACCAGGCCTTTGTCCTTGTTCTACAGCCTGAGTCCTGGATCTATAATTTCTCCATCCATGGGAATCCCACCTTCATTGTGGACCTCCCCGAGGGTTTTCCTTGCCAATGCAGGAGGGTCTAAGGACAGTGGGGATGATCCAGGACATTTATCAACATTCATGGACATAGGTCGTCTGCCCCTTAGTAAAGTCCCTCCGAGCATTTGCAATACAGGGCAACACAAAAATAAATTGAATTGCATAACTTATAAAAGTGGTTGCTGAAACTTAGATGGAGGAAGTTCAAATTCTGCTAACTGTTAACATGTAGATTTAGATACAGTACAAGGCCTCTACTCATGGTCACAAAGTCAGGCAGACGATGTGGATCAAATCCCTCGGTTTGTACGCACAGCTAAACAGAACAGTTTTTAACCTGGATTTGAACATTGTCAGAGAAAAAGCCTGTCTCACATCTTCAGGAAGACAACGCAGCCACACGATGTTTAGTTCTGACTTTGGGCACCAGAAGGATGCCCGTCCCTGTGCTCCTCAGAGTCCGAGTTGGTTCATATGCTCAGTATGAAGTCAGTATATTCTCTGGGCCGGAAGCAAAAACAAGAAAAACTTTTCAAATCCATATTTTAAGAAAAACGAGCAAAAATTATTATCATTATCACACATATTCCAAAACAATTCCCTCACAGTTCCCCATAACTGCACGATTAAGCCGGGGACAAGAGGATCCTGACTCTGACACGATCACCGAGGGGCTTTTGAGAACTCCACTCATTTGACTGTCGTCCAAAATCATCCACTTGTCCACAGCGTGTGCAGCGTCAGCCAAACACAACAGCTGTCTGACCCTGACCCGGAGTGCGGGGTCTATTAGCCACACAGACCGATGCATCCCCTGACAGTGTCTTGGAGAGGCCGAGTCCCCACAAAGCCAGGACATGCCAGGGGCATCTCCGCTGGGCTGGCACAAGCACTTATTAGAGTCGGCACAAGGCAACGCCGGTGCTGCTGCTGCTGCCGTGGAAGTGGGAGCAGAGAGGCAGGTTTGGTGGTTTGGTCCGGGAAAAAACAGCTGCTTCTTGGAGACTCCATAAATCACAGGTGTCAAACTGATTTTAGTCGAGGAGGCACATTTGAAAACAAAAGAGCTGGTTGGGGCCAGTCTCCAAGTGGTGTCAAAGTTATTCATTTATTTATTTTTTTCACTTGTTTTTTCCTTTTGACCAATTAACTGTATTTTGACACTAAAAAGTCCTTTATTCATTTGCATCACCAGTCACAGAACAGTAGGAATGAGAAGCACACAGAGCACAAGAGAAATTAACAATAACTCTATGTTAAAAAAAAATAATGAAACTAGCATGAGGAACAAACAAAAGTGTAAAATCTCTGTCTTCAGCTTCAGCTTAATGAGTCGACAAAATTCTGACTTTGGCATATTAAAGAAGTATTAAATCTTCATAATAAGAAGCAAGTAAAAGTATGGTAATAGTCCCGTGCAAGAAATATAAACAGTAGTCCATCTGTACATTAGCAGCAGTATGTTTACATCAGAACATTAGCACATATACAGAAACAATAGCAGCAGTATGTTTACATCTGTACAATAGCAGTGTCTGTACATTAGCAGCAGTATGTTTACATCTGTACAATAGCAGCAGTATGTTTACATTAGCAGCAGTATGTTTATCTGTACATTAGCAGCAGTATGTTTACATCTGTAGCAGCAGTATGTTTACATCTGTACATGTTAGCAGCAGTACAATGTGCATGTTCTAGCAGTATGTTAACATCTGTACAATAGCAGCAGTATGTTTACATCTGTACATTAGCAGCAATGTTTACATCTGTACATTAGCAGCAGTATGTTTACATCTGTACATTATGTTTACATCTGTGCATGTTAGCAGGAGTATGTTTACATCTGTGCATGTTAGCAGCAGTATGTTTACATCTGTACAACATGAGGTGAGTTTGGATATTTTCTAGGTTTGGATTCAACCAGAACTGGCCAAATATCAAGAAGAGATGTATTTGAAGATAGTTCAATTAAATAATAAATATTTGGCCTAACTTCACTAATGCTAGTTAAAATTTTAGAACAGATCCAATTATATGTATTTTTTTCTTTAAAAAATATGCTTTAGAATGAAGTAAAACATGCCATAATAGCCCATTACCGTCACAGCTGCAAGTTACGTTCATAACAATAATTAAAAAAATCATTTCAGGGGCCACTAAAGATGGTCTTGCGGGCTGGATTTGGTCCAAGGGCCTGAGTTTGACATGCCTGCCGTATATGAAAGAAATACTCAGGCAAAACCAACTTTCAATCAAGATGGTGTGTTTTAAAACCTGTGCACCACACCATCGTAGATATCAGGTCACATGTTTTCTGAACTTCAAGCTTATTATCCAATCAGAAAGCAGAATGAGGCTCTCATTTGGGTTGTTTAGCTGTTTTTGGATTTTTGAAAATAATAGCAACACACATTTTTCATTTAAATGACAGCAAAGTAGTTGTACGTACACAACGTTTTTTCTGTTTCTATCTAAACTCCAGTAGGTGGAATTGCATTTGTAATCAGTGGTTAGGAGCTACATGTGTCACAGGCAAGAGGAATTTGGCAATAAAAGTGTGATTGTAATTGTAATGATTTATAAGATCCCTGAGTTGTGCATAATACAAACAGCGGCATCATCTGTTAATCCAAAGAGAAGCTCATCGCACCGAGATACTGCACATTCATAGTGAAGTTGTTCTAGATTTTTGACACATGCACTTTTGTCCTCTCAGTTTGTAGTTCCACACTGCATTTTCCAAACTAAACCTAAAGAGTCCCGCCACTTGTTGGTGACAAAAAAACAATACATGCAGAAAAGAACAATAATGTGTGAATAAAAGGATTGAAAGGAGCCAAACACCTTCTTTGTCTTGTACAGAGTTATACACAGCAGCAGTCTGTGGAGGGACACCAGCCCAGACGCTTCCTCCAGCTGCTGCGGGCCCCAGGGGCCCCCAGCTGAGCAGCAGTTAGAGCGGCACAGCTTTAAGTGCTTTCCATATTTAACACTAGAACTCCCAGAAATCTGAAACTACTAGAACTCAAAATGACTGTTCTGAAAGGTAAAGGTAAAGATAATTTCATAAAAGTAAGTAACATAGAAAGGAACTACATATAGAATCAGAGACAAATGACGTTCTGAAGAGCACAAATGTAAATAAGAGATGTAATTCTGCTTCCCTTTTTCACCCATTTCCATCCACAATAATCACCACACAATCATTTGCCTCCAATCAGCAGCACCTGCAGGCTTCTTTCTTAACCTTTCAATATGAAGACTTACAGAAAAATGGTTCACATTCACTTTTGCGATCTTTAGGTTAAGGTTAATTGACAGATTGAGATGGCGACTTTCAGAGCTCTAAAAACATCAGTATCTTGTAACATTCAATGTAAAAATGTAATTAGGTCTTCTTTATGTTTAAAGGTACAGGGATGTCAGAACACCCTCAGACCCTTGTTGCAGATTCTGCCTCATTCTCATTACTGTTGGTGTGAAGCCAGTTACTGTTGGTGTGAAGCCAGTTACTGTTGGTGTGAAGACAGTTACTGTTGGTGTGAAGAACAGTTACTGTTGGTGTGAAGACAGTTACTGTTGGTGTGAAGCCAGTTACTGTTGGTGTGAAGCCAGTTACTGTTGGTGTGAAGACAGTTACTGTTGGTGTGAAGCCAGTTACTGTTGGTGTGAAGACAGTTACTGTTGGTGTGAAGCCAGTTACTGTTTGGTGTGAAGCCAGTTACTGTTGGTGTGGAAGACAGTTTACTGTTGGTGTGAAGACAGTTACTGTTGGTGTGAAGCCAGTTACTGTTGGTGTGAAGACAGTTACTGTTGGTGTGAAGACAGTTACGGTTGGTGTGAAGACAGTTACTGTTGGTGTGAAGACAGTTACTGTTGGTGTGAAGACAGTTAACTGTTGGTGTGAAGACAGTTACTGTTGGTGTGAAGACAGTTACTGTTAGTGTGAAGACAGTTACTGTTGGTGTGTGAAGACAGTTACTGTTGGTGTGAAGACAGTTACTGTTAGTGTGAAGACAGTTACTGTTGGTGTGAAGAACAGTTACTGTTAGTGTGAAGACAGTTTACTGTTGGTGTGAAGACAGTTACTGTTGGTGTGAAGACAGTTACGTATTGGGGGTTTATGTGTGGAGTCTGTTGTGTACAAACTACATGTTTACATGTTTGCTGTTATGACAGGTTTCTAGATTTTTGCATAGTTCTTTTCCTCAAATATTCTTATTTGGGTAGTTCTTTTACATAACTGTGGGTCCTCCATAATCCCTACTTCAAACTTGTGAGGGCACGATGGAGGCAACGATCTCAGTAGCACTTGTGAAACAAAAACCTGATTCTCACAACCTTTTTGTCATCAACCGATGACGCACTGACATAGATAGTTTTTCCAAAGCCCTGTAAGCCCTGTCCTCTTGGGTTTAAGACCATGTGACTAAACCAGGACTAAAGCCACGTTTCCACTGCAGAAACATCAGGGTAATTTTTCCAGGGCCAGCGCCGTCGGTGCGTGTCTCCACTGCAGGAACTTTCACCACAGAGTCATTTACAGGAACTTTTACAGGGCCCGACAGAGTCCCTCCTCCATGCTGGTACTCTGTTGGGCCCTGGTGGGACTTGAGGCTAACCCAGCGCTGTTTGGCTAAAGCTATAGTGTAGGGCCTGACGGCAGCAGAAAACACCAAAACAACCGACATTAGCATTAGCCCAGCAGCATTAGCCCAGCAGCATTAGCCCAGCAGCATTAGCCCAGCAGCATTAGCCCAGCAGCATTAGCCCAGTAGCATTAGCCTAGCAGACCCCACTGGAAACAGCGAACAACAGCACGTGATTCAGACGGGGTTTGAGGCATCACGGCAAAATGAAAAGCTATATTAAGACATATCAGCTTCACCTCGAAGCACTGGGGATTCATCACACTCCAAAACAAGCCTTGAAAAGTTTTAAAAAACTAAAGCAGGACTATAAAAAACCCAAAGACCACAACAACCGGAGCGGTTACGACCGTAATATAAACAAACAGGTTTGGTGTAATGAGTTTTGCTTATGCGGCAATTGAAACTAGATGTCGCCGAGTGGTCCTACTGCAGTGAAGACACAGACACTGAGAGGACCGAGGGAGAGGAAGGTTCCTGTAAAAGTTCCACCCCGCTCCTTGTACCAGGAATTCCTGCGGTTGAAACGCAGCTTAATTCGGAGACTAAAGTAGGACTAAATCAGGTCATACAGTACTCAGTACAAACCAGTAAGTAATCTTTATTCATATACCAGCTTTCACAGACCAGAGTCACAAAGGGGTTTACAATTGTTATTTTTCTGGGCATTTGTCTCTCACTCCACACAGAGATGGGAGCGGGGCCAGTACAGGAGGCACATGCCAGAACCTATTGTACATATTTTTAGAGGTAGGGGAAACCTACGCAGACACAGCGAGAACATGCAAACTCCACTCAGAAAGGCCCTGGTCTGACCGGGATTCGATCCCAGGACCTTCTTGCTGAGAGGCGAGAGTGCTATCCACTCAGCCACCGTGCCGCTTGTTTTGGAGTGTGATGAATTCCCAGTGCTTCGAGGTGAAGCTGATATGTCTTAATATATGTTAACATTTCGCTGCGATGCCTTAAACCCCGTCTGAATCACGTGTTGTTGTTCGCTGTTTCCAGTGGTGTCTGCTAGGCTAATGCTGCTGGGCTAATGCTGCTGGGCTAATGCTGCTGGGCTAATGCTGCTGGGCTAATGCTAATGTCGGTTGTTTTGGTGTTTTCTGCTGCCGTCAGGCCCTACACTATAGCTTTAGCCAAACAGCGCTGGGTTAGCCTCAAGTCCCACCAGGGCCCAACAGAGTACCAGCATGGAGGAGGGACTCTGTCGGGCCCTGTAAAAGTTCCTGTAAATGACTCTGTGGTGAAAGTTCCTGCAGTGGAGACACGCACCGACGGCGCTGGCCCTGGAAAAATGACCCCGATGTTTCTGCAGTGGAAACGTGGCTTTAGTCCTGGTTTAGTCCCATGGTCTTAAACCCAAGAGGACAGGGCTTACTAGCTTCTTCACACCTTAAAAGAACCTTACAGGCTTTAAAGGTTCTCAGTGTAATTTCTGCAGTTGCTACAAATGAGAAAACATATTGAACAAAAACAAATCTGACCTTTTTAAGAATATTTACCACCACCATGTTTTTCAATTGTTTTCATAGAGTTGGAATTTGAATTATAAATGTCAATGAGAGCTGGAAAACTATCTATGTCAGTGCGTCATCGGTTGATGACAAAAAGGTTGTGAGAATCAGGTTTTTGTTTCACAAGTGCTACTGAGATCGTTGCCTCCATCGTGCCCTCACAAGCTTGAAGTAGGGATTATGGAGGACCACAGTTATGTAAAAGAACTACCCAAATAAGAATATTTGAGGAAAAGAACTATGCAAAAATCTAGAAACCTGTCATAACAGCAAACATGTAAACATGTAGTTTGTACACAACAGACTCACACATAAACAATACGTAACTGTCTTCACACCAACAGTAACTGTCTTCACACCAACAGTAACTGTCTTCACACTAACAGTAACTGGCTTCACACCAACAGTAACTGTCTTCACACTAACAGTAACTGTCTTCACACCAACAGTAACTGTCTTCACACCAACAGTAACTGTCTTCACACCAACAGTAACTGTCTTCACACCAACAGTAACTGTCTCACACAACAGTAACTGTCTTCACACCAACAGTAACTGTCTTCACACCAACAGTAACTGTCTTCACACCAACAGTAACTGTCTTCACACCAACAGTAACTGTCTTCACACCAACAGTAACTGTCTTCACACCAACAGTAACTGTCTTCACACCAACAGTAACTGGCTTCACACCAACAGTAACTGTCTTCACACCAACAGTAACTGTCTTCACACCAACAGTAACTGGCTTCACACCAACAGTAACTGGCTTCACACCAACAGTAACTGTCTTCACACCAACAGTAACTGGCTTCACACCAACAGTAACTGTCTTCACACCAACAGTAACTGGCTTCACACCAACAGTAACTGGCTTCACACCAACAGTAACTGTCTTCACACCAACAGTAACTGTCTTCACACCAACAGTAACTGTCTTCACACCAACAGTAACTGGCTTCACACCAACAGTAACTGGCTTCACACCAACAGTAATGAGAATGAGGCAGAATCTGCAACAAGGGTCTGAGGGTGTTCTGACATCCTGTACCTTTAAACATAAAGAAGACATAATTACATTTTTACATTGAATGTTACAAGATACTGATGTTTTTAGAGCTCTGAAAGTCGCCATCTCAATCTGTCAATTAACCTTAACCTAAAGATCGCAAAAGTGAATGTGAACCATTTTTCTGTAAGTCTTCATATTGAAAGGTTAAGAAAGAAGCCTGCAGGTGCTGCTGATTGGAGGCAAATGATTGTGTGGTGATTATTGTGGATGGAAATGGGTGAAAAAGGGAAGCAGAATTACATCTCTTATTTACATTTGTGCTCTTCAGAACGTCATTTGTCTCTGATTCTATATGTAGTTCCTTTCTATGTACTTACTTTTATGAAATTATCTTTACCTTTACCTTTCAGAACAGTCATTTTGAGTTCTAGTAGTTTCAGATTTCTGGGAGTTCTAGTGTTAAATATGGAAAGCACTTAAAGCTGTGCCGCTCTAACTGCTGCTCAGCTGGGGGCCCCTGGGGCCCGCAGCAGCTGGAGGAAGCGTCTGGGCTGGTGTCCCTCCACAGACTGCTGCTGTGTATAACTCTGTACAAGACAAAGAAGGTGTTTGGCTCCTTTCAATCCTTTTATTCACAATTATTGTTCTTTTCTGCATGTATTGTTTTTTTGTCACCAACAAGTGGCGGGACTCTTTAGGTTTAGTTTTGGAAAATGCAGTGTGGAACTACAAACTGAGAGGACAAAAGTGCATGTGTCAAAATCTAGAACAACTTCACTATGAATGTGCAGTATCTCGGTGCGATGAGCTTCTCTTTGGATTAACAGATGATGCCGCTGTTTGTATTATGCACACTCAGGGATCTTATAAATCATTACAATTACAATCACACTTTTATTGCCAAATTCCTCTTGCCTGTGACACATGTAGCTCCTAACCACTGATTACAAATGCAATCCACCTACTGGAGTTTAGATAGAAACAGAAAAAACGTTGTGTACGTACAACTACTTTGCTGTCATTTAAATGAAAAAATGTGTGTTGCTATTATTTTCAAAAATCCAAAAACAGCTAAACAACCCAAATGAGAGCCTCATTCTGCTTTCTGATTGGATAATAAGCTTGAAGTTCAGAAACATGTGACCTGATATCTACGATGTGTGGTGCACAGGTTTTAAAACACACATCTTGATTGAAAGTTGGTTTTGCCTGAGTATTTCTTTCATATACGGCAGGCATGTCAAACTCAGGCCCTTGGACCAAATCCAGCCCGCAAGACCATCTTTAGTGGCCCCTGAAATGATTTTTTTAATTATTGTTATGAACGTAACTTGCAGCTGTGACGGTAATGGGCTATTATGGCATGTTATACTTCATTCTAAAGCATATTTTTTAAAGAAAAAAATACATATAATTGGATCTGTTCTAAAATTTTAACTAGCATTAGTGAAGTTAGGCCAAATATTTATTATTTAATTGAACTATCTTCAAATACATCTCTTCTTGATATTTGGCCAGTTCTGGTTGAATCCAAACCTAGAAAATATCCAAACTCACCTCATGTTGTACAGATGTAAACATACTGCTGCTAACATGCACAGATGTAAACATACTCCTGCTAACATGCACAGATGTAAACATACTGCTGCTATTGTACAGATGTAAACATACTGCTGCTAATGTACAGATGTAAACATACTGCTGCTAATGTACAGATGTAAACATACTGCTGCTATTGTACAGATGTTAACATACTGCTGCTAACATGCACAGATGTAAACATACTGCTGCTAACATGTACAGATGTAAACATACTGCTGCTATTGTACAGATGTAAACATACTGCTGCTAACATGTACAGATGTAAACATACTGCTGCTAATGTACAGATGTAAACATACTGCTGCTATTGTACAGATGTAAACATACTGCTGCTAATGTACAGATGTAAACATACTGCTGCTATTGTACAGATGTAAACATACTGCTGCTATTGTACAGATGTAAACATACTGCTGCTAATGTACAGATGTAAACATACTGCTGCTAATGTACAGATGTAAACACACAACTACTGTATATATTTCTTGCACGGGACTATACCATACTTTTACTTGCTTCTTATTATGAAGATTTAATACTTCTTTAATATGCCAAAGTCAGAATTTTGTCGACTCATTAAGCTGAAGCTGAAGACAGAGATTTTACACTTTTGTTTGTTCCTCATGCTAGTTTCATTATTTTTTTTTAACATAGAGTTATTGTTAATTTCTCTTGTGCTGTGTGCTTCTCATTCCTACTGTTCTGTGACTGGTGATGCAAACTGAATAAAGGACTTTTTAGTGTCAAATACAGTTAATTGGTCAAAAGGAAAAAACAAGTGAAAAAAATAAATAAATGAATAACTTTGACACCACTTGGAGACTGGCCCCAACCAGCTCTTTTGTTTTCAAATGTGCCTCCTCGACTAAAATCAGTTTGACACCTGTGATTTATGGAGTCTCCAAGAAGCAGCTGTTTTTTCCCGACCAAACCACCAAACCTGCCTCTCTGCTCCCACTTCCACGGCAGCAGCAGCAGCACCGGCGTTGCCTTGTGCCGACTCTAATAAGTGCTTGTGCCAGCCCAGCGGAGGCCCCTGGCATGTCCTGGCTTTGTGGGGACTCGGCCTCTCCAAACACTGTCAGGGTGCATCGGTCTGTGTGGCTAATAGACCCCGCACTCCGGGTCAGGGTCAGACAGCTGTTGTGTTTGGCTGACGCTGCACACGCTGTGGACAAGTGGATGATTTTGGACGACAGTCAAATGAGTGGAGTTCTCAAAAGCCCCTCGTGATCGTGTCAGTGTCAGGATCCTCTTGTCCCCGGCTTAATCGTGCAGTTATGGGGAACTGTGAGGGAATTGTTTTGGAATATGTGTGATAATGATAATAATTTTTGCTCGTTTTTCTTAAAATATGGATTTGAAAAGTTTTTCTTGTTTTTGCTTCCGGCAGAGAATATACTGACTTCATACTGAGCATATGAACCAACTCGGACTCTGAGGAGCACAGGGACGGGCCTCCTTCTGGTGCCCAAAGTCAGAACTAAACATCGTGTGGCTGCGTTGTCTTCCTGAAGATGTGAGACAGGCTTTTTCTCTGACAATGTTCAAATCCAGGTTAAAAACTGTTCTGTTTAGCTGTGCGTACAACCGAGGGATTTGATCCACATCGTCTGCCTGACTTTGTGACCATGAGTAGAGGCCTTGTACTGTATCTAAATCTACATGTTAACAGTTAGCAGAATTTGAACTTCCTCCAATCTAAGTTTCAGCAACCACTTTTATAAGTTATGCAATTCAATTTATTTTTGTGTTGCCCTGTATTGCAAATCTCGGAGGACTTTACTAAGGGGCAGACGACCTATGTCCATGAATGTTGATAAATGTCCTGGATCATCCCCACTGTCCTTAGACCCTCCTGCATTGGCAAGGAAAACCCTCGGGGAGGTCCACAATGAAGGTGGGATTCCCATGGATGGAGAAATTATAGATCCAGGACTCAGGCTGTAGAACAAGGACAAAGGCCAGGTGATGCAGGACTGAGGAGGCTCTCAGGTGGGGAGGGGGTGCAGCCCTCGAGTCCGGGCCGGGGGAAGACAGAATTTTATAATTCATGCAACCGATATAAGACCATTTGTTTTATCATTTAAAATGACTGCTGGGGTATAAAACCTTTTCCCTCATAAATGATAAGATTGTGAGAGTTCCAACAGAAATCATTAGAACAGAAAAATAATATTGTGACTAAAACAGACCACAACATTCAGTCTTCTTGAGCTGTAACGATTGATCGATTAAACGCTATTTTAGCAGTTAATCGTGACTGATCTTCATACAGACCACATATTTTCTATGAGATGTGGTTTTAACACTAGAAAGAGAGAGTTCTTCCCATAAAACATGATGTTCTGAAGAAAGAAGTCATAGAGGCTGTTCTCCGGTGGCTTCACTACAGCTCGATCTGCCACAAACTGAGAAGAAATATTTTATATACTGTATAATAGCTCAGCTCTAAACTCATCGATTAAATCCAAAGTATAATTATAATCTAAAGTTTAATCAATTATTAAAAGTATTGTTTTTTAATGACCTGCTTTCTTCCTTCGTCGTAAATTAGAAACTATAATCATGAATGTAGAACACATTATGGTCATTACTATATTATATTCATCTCAGCAACACGATCCGACATGTTTCCAAACGCTTTATTTCAGTCCTACCCTTTATTGTTGTGATTGTTTATGTATTTTTCTGTTGTAATACATGAATATGTGTCGTCAAATTTAAACCACTGTGTTGATTGTGGTTTTGTAATGTACCAAGAAAAACTTTGATAAAGCTTGGATGAAAAAAAAAACGCACGTCGACCGAGACAAAGACATTGACAATGGACCCACAACAAATGTGGAAGAACACGTGGGAGATATTGGTCTGTTCACAGTAAAGTGTCAAGGTTATAACTCAAAAACTAAAATTACTATCATAGATTGGAAAAAATCTTTCAAACACAGACATATCAAATGATACTGTGGATAAATCCAAAGAAACGATTGACAAATACATTTTGGTGAAATGTTAAAAGATCAGATCAGCCTCTGATTTGATCATTGACTCCAGTCACATGGAAAAGAAAAGGTCATCAGTGACAAAGCGGCAGATGAACTCCCACAAGATGAACATGGCTAACATAACATCAGTAAATCACTTCATTTCAAAAGGATGTGTAACGGACGTGATGGTTTCCGTGAGGGAAAAATTATGTCCTGTTTCACATTTCATTGGTTTACTATATGAACGTAATTGTTTCTACTCTGTTTAAAAAAAGAATCTATGAATCAAATATGTAACAAACTTCCGCAGCTCATTCCGTTAAAGGATCAGATCCGTGACACAGATAAACAGAGCCGCTATAGGAAACTTGACTCATGTAAAAAACAGTTCTCTTCTAACTTCTGATGGACAGAGGAGGTATTTGTCTACATGAAAAACATGATATATCTTCTGATTATTAAAATCACATGTTTGGCCTTCTGTCACACTGTTGTACCCTTAAATGAACAAGCCCAAGTATAAACGCAGACACACGAGTGAAACACATTAGAGCGGGAAAGACAATAAACAGGGAAGAGGATCACATGTAAAAACAAAAAAAAAAAAACACAGCAAAGAGAAAAACACACATCCTGAAGATTGAATTAATAATCCAATATCTTGTTTAGGCTCTGTGCGGACCGGTTCTAAGACTATTCAAATATCATCCCGGGGGCCAAGATCATTACTTTGCGTGCCGGATTTGGCTCCTGGGCCTTGACTTTGCCTTCCATGCTCTAGTCTAGCGCATATCCAGGAAAGGACAAATGTATGGGGTGACAGTGACTGAAGGTCGTGGGTTTGAGCCCACCATGAGACCACCACTGATGTCTGCTGCCGTTGTGTCCTTGGGCATGACACTTAACCCCACTTTGCCTGGAACTCAGCACCTGCAGGAGGATCAGTGAGGAGCTGGTGCTAAGTGTACTGGGTGCAGCTCTGACTGCCGCCCCCCTGACCTAGAAATGGATTAAGGGGAAGAAAATGGATGGATGGACTGGACTGCAACAAACAATACATGCTCTGAGGACCCGTGAAGGACCTGGCTCAGACTCAGGTCTATGGAGTGAAAGGACTGACTTTCTTGGAGTCAATGAATCCTGCTGGAGTGACAGACTTGAAACTGGAATTGGTCTCTGCTCTGGGCTGCTTTGAGTACAGCACAGAATGGGCACGATGAAACTACCATCTGTGTCGGAGCAGGATCCAGCCTCCACCTGTGGTCACACGCCGCCAACATCAAATGAAAATCAATTCTAACTTTTATCTTAAAAGAAGATTGGCCAATGAGTAAAGCAAAAATGTTTTATTCTATTAAGAGACATCATTATTGTCGGATAGTTTGTAGCCTCAGGTAACTTCAATAATCTGTCAGATATCGTCCCTGCACGACAAGAATCTCCTCGTTCTCCCCTCGTCATCACCTTGTCAGTTCCCACTCACAGCGAATTGCCTGAGATTTTCCCGTGAGAAGAGGTTCATGAAAAATTGAAGCAACATTTTCGGAGTCTCTTTCATTCAAGTTTTAAATTCTGACTTGAAACGGTGTGGTCTTGTGGCCCGGGCCGTGGAGATGAACCTGGACTGATTCCAGCAGCGGTTTCTAACGTGGGCAGGAGTGACAGGACATCTGCAGCGCTAAAGTGGATTGTCACTCATTAAGTTATGCAAATGCGATCTGCATTAAAAGTACATGCGAGCGGACTCCTGCGGGAGAAGTGCAAACAGAAAAGGGGCGGAGCCTGGCAGGCGTTCGCATACGTGCAGGTGAAAATAGTTTCTCATTGAGCTGTGATGTAGGTCAACGTCTGTGTGAGTTCAAAACACTTGGGGACATTTAGGGCCGTAGTAATCTGTGGAAGGACATGCACAGGAAGCACTACTGAGATTTATGCAGCTAAAATCTGGAGCAATCTTCCTGAGAATGTGAGACAGGTGTCTGCTCTGGCAGTTTTCAAATCCAGGTTAAAAACAGTTCTGTTTAGCTGTGCCACAACTGAAGAATTGTAAACGTACTCTTTTTAATGAATGTGACTATTTATGTATAATTTTAATGTTTTAAGGTTTTGTTTTGTGTGTTTTTTATTTTCTATATTTTTACTATCTCTTGCAAACTTTATGTTTGTAATTTTCATGTTATTGTTTATGTAGATTTTGTTGTTTATGATTTATGGATGTGTGTTTCTGCTGCTACTGGACACCTGAAAATTCTCCTACACGGATCAATAAAGTATCTATCTATCTATTCTATCTATCAATTTTCCACCCTCAAAACTCATCTGTTTAGACAAGCATACTCACTAACATAACCACACTCTCCTCTGTCCATGATGCTTTTAAACTTTGTATTTTAACTGTTTTTAAAATACACTTTTTACTTGCATGTAAGGCGACCTTGAGTGTCAAGAAAGATGCCTAAGAAATAAAATGTATTATTATCTATCAATTTCCTTGTAATGATTGCACATCAACATACCGATATTAAAAACTAAAGAATAGTATAAACATCCATACAAGGACCTGCTAATCAACACTTATATTACATGTTTTTGTATCCATGAGATTGCTTTAATTAATGTCTTATGTTTTTAGTTACACTGTAAAAAAAGACTGTAAAATTTACAGAAAAACTCTGTGAAATCCCTACAGTTTTGTATGGTAAAACAAAAAAACAAAGGAATTTTGTTGAAATACACATACATTATTTGTAAACAATGTAACAAATAATAAATGTAGTGTTTACAGGAACGAGATGCCATTTTAATCAAATATATTTGTTAAAAATAGATCTTACGGTAATTAAAACGGTTAAATATTGTAACACCAAAAACGAAATTAATATGTTGACATTACATTAAACTTTTGTAAGAAAATACATTTTTGCCAGTTATTTCAAAAGCATTCCAGAATGTAAGTGACTTTACATTTTTGGTTGATACTTCCAACATGTCTGTTAAACAGTGAACATTGAGATCAAATGTTTTTCATCACGGTTTTTGTTATAATTTTAAATGCAGCATTTTGGAAGTGTATCACTTTGAATACAGAAGTTACTTCTCTAATTATGATGGAACAAAAGACCTCGTACAAAACCTCCTGTATATGTTTTAATAACAGATATAATATAAAGCTTTATGATTTATCACAGGCTGAATAACTAACAAGGCCGAATGCTATACCTCAATGTGCACTTTTGAAATTTGTATTCTTTGTCCAATATAAAATTAAAACCACATGTATTGTTGTTTTATGAATAGAAAATAATAATAATAATTATTTTATTTAATGTATCTTCACACGTGTATCCATCATGATCTAACCCTTTACTCAACGATATGATAGTTTGTGAAAATGTTGTATTTCAAAATTCAAAGTCCGCAGATCGTTTTTGATTGGATAACGACTGGTGGGCGGAAGCTGCAGCAGAAGCACGGCGCCGCGCGCTCCCCATTCGAGCTCCACGTCCTCGCACTGACTCTGACAACGCTACAACGAGCCCCCAGACTACCAGAGAACAAAGTGCCGAGCTTTTCGGTGTCAGCCTGCTTTATTTAGTTGGATACCTTTCCATAGTCTTTTTGACCCGTGTCTGTTGCGGAATTTTGAGAGTTTGACCGGTAAGCATTTACATTTGTTTTAGCACATGGTGTAAGGTGGTGTAAGCTAGCGTGGTGTAAGCTAGCGTGGTGTAAGCTAGCGCGGTGGAGGCTAGCACCTTCAGTCGCAGTTTATAACCAGTTTATAAATTACTTTGAGCTCATGTGAGAAATTAAACATCATTTTTCGCAATGATCACTGCTTCTTTTGTAGAAAGACTTTTGCCTCGTCTAAAGCCAATGTCCTACATTGCAGAGTACACAGAAATGAACCTCGTTGTGTGTTTAAATGTGTTTTGAGTCCAATTGTATTCAAACATTTACAACGTACTCTGCTTTAAGGGGACACTTTTATCGCCTTCACAATGTAAATTTTTACATCATGTCCCAAGTGGTACTTGGCATTTTAAAATGCGCGGTTCCCTTGTGTGGACCGCCATTTTGACACTGTAAAAGAGCTTGTGTGCCATTTAAAAGATCACTTTGGAGAGGGCAGGTCTGTGTCTTGTCCAGTGAAAGGCTGCAACCATGCTTTCACACAAAAAATCAACATTTACTTCTCATATGAGTAGAAAGCATACTGCGTGTTCCCCTGATGGTATTGGTGACATGTATAGATAAGATGTGCTTTATTTATCTCACATAGAAGAAATTTACATGTCACATTTGGCATGGATAGACACTCAGATTGTGCAAAAGGAGAAAATGTGCAAACATGTTACATACTGGATATATATGTATTAGGGGTGTAACGGTTCACGGGGATGTATTGAACCGTTTCGATGTGGCCTGTTCGGTTCGGTCCACCTTGCGTACCGTTTTCGGTGTATTTTTTTCATTAAATAATATACATTTATTATTAGCGTGATATTAAGCGCAGCGGTAAAAAAGTTCCTAGGCGAGTTTCCGCACGGACGCTATTGAGTGACGCACAGTAGAGCTGCACAAGCTTATAAAGTCTATGTGCACGAGTAGCCGTGAGAAATGGCATCATGGCAACAGCGAAAGAGAAGCCAGAGCTTGAAGACCCTCCCACCTCACTACGGTCTCCTGTTTGGGAACACTTTGGCTTCCCTGTTCAAATACATAACGGGGATAGACGAGTGGATAAATCCAAAGTTGTATCTCCCCCGCTTTGCCGACATTGTTCCACGGAGATCGGGTATGCGGCATGGCAACACATCTAACATGTTTAACGCACTTAAAACGGCATCATCCGAATGTAAATATCACTTCTACTAAGAAGAAAATGCAGCCTTGTGCAAGTACCGCTAACGTCTGGCATTTAAACAACCCCTGTCAAGTACTTCGGATCGAGCGAAAGCAATAACGCATGGTATAGGTGTTTTCATCGCTACCGATTTTGCGTCCATATTCAGTTGTTGAAGGCGCTGGCTTTAAGTATATGATTAAAAGTCTTGAGCCTCGCTACAATATCCCATCGCGTCCGCAGCCAAAAAGTTTCAGCCTATATGAAAAAAAAAGTCAACAAGCTATAGTGCGCCAGCACTAGAGATAAAAAGTTCAAACTGATCACGTTTTGCTGTTTCAACAAGCTATCGATGAATGCTGGAGAGGCATGGGACTCTACAATTCCTGTTACAACAGACAATGCACGTAACATCGTAAATGCAATACAAGAAGCAGGACTGGGCCCTCAGATTGGTTGCTTTGCACACACCATCAATTTAGCTTCCCAAAAAGCAACAGCCATTAACCAGGTATCCAGATTATTGGGCAAAGTCAGAAAAGTTGTGACATTTTTTCATAGAAGTACCACAGCTGCCCACATACTGGAGTGCAAGCAAGAAATGCTGAATATTCCAAAGCATTCACTCATTCAAGACGTTCTCACGCGCTGGAACTCTAGTTATGACATGATTGAACGGTACCTTGAACAGCAAGCCGCTATATATTCAGCACTCAAGGAGAAAGCTCTCAAGAACAAAGACATTTACACACTCAATGATGAGGAAGTGACTATGGCAGAGGAACTTATTGAAGTGCTCAAACCTCTAAAAACCATCACAACTCTAATGAGCACTGAAACAAAAGCATCAGTGTCAATGATACTCCCACTGAAAGCCACTGTTCTCCACTCTATGGCACCAAAACAAGAGGACCGTCCAATTGTGAGGGAGGTTAAGGTAGCAGTCACAAAGAATCTGCAGGACAGATACTCTACATGCTGTGACTTTTTGCACAAGTGCACTGCACTAGACCCCAGATTTAAAGCCCTGCCTCATATAGATGATGATGAACGAGAGAGGATATTCACTGACCTCACAACAGAAATAATCACCACAGAAGAACAGGTATTGTATCTAATAAACTTTTTATTTACAATAAAAATGTGAATTTACCTATTAAAAAAAATGCCTTATGTGTTCTGCAGACAGAGGATGTCAACAAGATAACAGCTGGAGCATCTTCATCTCCTGGGACATCCTCCTCATCACCTCCAGCTAAGAAGTCTGTAATGACTGAACTCTTTGGTGAACTTTTCCAGGGACAGGTGGGAAGTAGCAAGGTACCCCTTTTGGAGCAGGTCCAAGAAGAAATGGTTAGGTACAGAGCTTCAGGGTGCCTCTCCCTTGAAGCTGACCCTCTTCTGTGGTGGAAAAGCAATGAGGCCTCATACACGCACATTGCAAAACTAGCAAAGCGCTACCTCTCTATTCCAGCTACCTCTGTTCCAAGTGAAAGGGTTTTTTCTACTGCTGGAGATATTGTCACTGCAACCAGATCTGTGCTCTCTTCAGAAAATGTGGATAGGTTAATCTTTTTAGCCAAAAACTTTAAACTTGAATAGTTAGTTTTGTTGATATACAAGCTGAAGCTGTTGCTAGTGTTAAACGTTTTCAGGTCCTAACTAGTTGCAGTATTTACATTTTAAAAATG